TCAAATTTATTCTCAAACTTTTTTCACGAGTTGATTGAGTTGTTTTTGGACCGGTTAAGTCAATTAGATTACATTAATACAACTCTTATATAGTTTAATCTTAACTTGATTCAGATAAGAAGTTGGTTTGGAGGTTTTCCGATTAATTTCATTATTTTTCCTCAATCTCAATCTCAACCTCATACTTTTTTAACCAGTCAATCAAGTTGATATTTGGATCAGTCAAGTTGACTAAGTCACATCAAAACAACTCTCATATAATTTAAGTTTAAATTTGAGCTAGAAAAGGAGTCCATTTAAAATATTTTGATATTCACCCTACATCTTCAAGGGCTAAGCATTGATTTTAGCGGTGATGTTGAAAGCTTTGTGCCGAGCTCTTCCATCCAGGTCAACGCGTGTCGTCAATAACTCTTTCTTCTTTTTCTTCTTTTTTTTATTCTTTTTTATTTTTTAGAATTTAGTGAGGCCTTTTAAGATTGAATATTGTCATGTCATATTGTTTTTATATCATATTTGATTCTTAATATTTTGATTTTCATTAGTTTTGTTTTGAATCTTATTTTGAATTGATTTTTTTTTTTAATTTTATCCTTTCAATTATTATATTAAATTTTATCATTATTCATTTGATTACTATTTATTTTATTTTGGATTACTTTTACTATTTTTTTGTTCGATTTTAGTTCTGAGTATTTTACTGATTGAGAATTTGGTTTTATGATTTTTTCGAGTTTGAAAAATTAGCTTGAATTGACTTTGATTTATTTTTTCAATTCTTTTTTATTTTTCAATTATTTTTTTATTTTTATTATTCAGTATTATGTTTATAGGGAATTGCGCTTTGTGATGGTTTTTTTTGTATTTTTTATATAATTATCATGATCTTATAACTAATTTGTAAGTTTAACAAATTAACTCCAATTAATTTAATTTTTTTATTATTTATTTTAAATAATTTTTTTAATACTTGATTGGTTTAAAAATTGAATGTTATTCAATCTTCTTTATACCGGTTATCAAACTTATACCTCATTTGTTTGCTACGACGATGGATCAAATACATTTTTTAAGTATTCATCAGATCACCTATAGCAAACTTGTCGTTTGTCAAAATCCGCATTAAGAAACGCACCCTTAACGAATTTCGTAAAATCTTCATTTGCGCTCTTGCAGAGAACTCTATCTCTGACTCTGTAAGATTTGAGTCTCCAATTAGCGTCATAAAAAAAAGAATCAAGATAATAATTGATTCCTTGCATATAATCCCTTGCATTAGAGATTTTAATATCCTCTTATCTTAATAAAATTGAATATTTGTTGCATTTTTTTTAAGACACGAGGTTTATGTGCACCCAACTTTTTTATATAGTATTATATTTTTATTTTTATGCTTTAAAATCTGTAAATTGAATAATGATAACGATAATGAGGGTGGGTATGATACATGCTTTATTTATATTTTTTGATAAATATAGTTTACTTGAGTTATTATTAATTATTTTTTTGGTATATTAAGTTCATTTAAATAATATTTTTTTAATAATATTGATGGTATTGTAATTAAAGTTTCAACATCTTCTTCATATTTATTTTCTTTTTTTTCCTAACAATTTAATATATATTTTTAGAACTCAACATTATGAATAGTAACAATTTATAAAGATCATGTTTTCCGAACATAACATATAGAAATTATATTATTTCACTATTTTCTTTTAAAAAATTATATAATATTTTTAATTTATTTTGCTAATTTTTTTAAAAATTAAACAATGAGGCATCGTGGTTGCTGCACGAAACCTAATTCACGCTAGAAGCAAGCACGAGACAGCTAAGCCTGTTCAAAGGCGAGGCTAGGATAGGTTCGAGCTGAGGTCAGGCTCGATGTAGTTTTCTAGGCCTGGGTTCGACCCCATCCAATCCACCGTTCTGGATCTCAAGCCTAAGCGTGGTTTGTGATGGATCTCAAGCTTTTTAGGCCAGCCTTGAGCCTAGTAAAAAGAAAGAAACTATAGAAAAACGATTTATGATTTGGGTTTTAGTAGAAACAAAACCAGTTACACAGTTCTTTATCCCAAAAACATGTTTCAACAAATAATCCCGTTTTGCACTTTTTGATTAGTTAAGTTGAAGAGATTTTGTAGTAAATAAAAAAATAAAGAAAAGTAAACGAGTCTGTGAAAGAAAGAGGAGAAGTAGAAGGAGAGGAAATGAGAGTAGTCAAGGTGTCATGTGTCAGGATTTGCGCCAATTCAACCACAGGCAAAATACATGATATCATGGTCAAATACAATGAATATTTAGAAAATCTGAGCATATGTAAACGAGAAATTATTAGATAGTAAGAGTATTACTTTATATATATGGAGTACAACTCTTGTTTTACAGAATGATTGCTATGTGTATGTAAACAATGCCAGTACGCAGCCTTGACAAAAGAAAATATAGCAAGGAAGAGATGGAGGCGCCTCGGATTTAGACTTTAATACAATACATGAGATGAATTTTATTTTTTTCTCTCAATGAAGTTGATAATTCAAAGAGCTTGAAGGAGAGGCAAAGATGATGAGGTTTTCTTGAAAGAAAAAACGAAAAGATTAGTGCGCATCATGTCTTGCGGGAAGAAAATCAGTATGCTGATTTCATGGCAAGCTGAGTACTTTTTGGATGGCCCCTTCTCCTGGTTTGCGTCTCCTTCCCTTAGGAGACTCTACTGGTTTTCTTTGTCCATTGCTTAGCTCTCTTCTTCATTGTTCTTCAGCGCCAAAAGGATGGGGAAAAAAGAAGAAGAAAAATGAACCAGAAAGACGGGGGGGATGAAGAGAGGTGACTGCGTGCCCTTAATAATTTATTAACAGTATATTTATTTTTGTGTTTAAAAACATATTTTTGAATTTTTTGAATTTTTTAATATATTTTTAAATAAAAAAGATATTTTTTTAAAAAGATTCCCCTTAATCGTATATTTTTTTAAAAAGATATTTTTTAATATTATATATTTTTAAATAAAAAAGATATTTTTTAAAAAAGATTCCCCGCGGGGTTGTCCAACCCATAAACAAGTACAGAGACAGACTCCCAACGCAAAACACATAAGCGTGAAATAAATGCACCGTGAAGATGTTCTTTTTTTTTTTCTTTTCTTTTCTTTTATTGACTATTAGATTGGACAATCTTGTGTTTCTTGGTAGAGCCTTTTCTGAACCGGTCATGGTCTTTAATAGGCTAATGCTTAGGCTTGGTACTTTTTCATTGGATAATAAATTATATATTTGATAAAAAAATCAACTACGAAATTAAACCCTTATTTTATGAGATAATAGCCATCCTAGTGTATGAGCTTTTGGTAATTTTACAATCGGTCCCAATCTTTAATTGTTTCTTCGAATGAGCGTTTCAACCACACACACACACACACAAAAACCTTTTAAAGATTATGGTTTTTCTAAGGTTGTTATAAGCTGAAAGGTGTAGTAAACTAGGCTTGGATAAATGAATACCTGCAAAACAAATCTTTTTATTAGTTTAAATAGATCCTTTTGTGCTTAAGTTATCACTAAACCTAAAAGGTGGTGTTGTGTGTGTGATGGCACAACAAAACTTAAAAGGAATAAGATGAAGTTCCTTATGAAAGAGAATACTGCTTACTTTTAGATCGATTCAAGGTTGTTTATAGAGTTTTGAATCTGTCTATGAAAAGATATGGTCAATAATGTGTTTATAACCTATGATTTTGGATAACTTAAGGACAAATGACCCAAATGACAACAAGTCATTGTGAAAGTTTCTCTCGTTCTGAGTTTTGTGAAACATGCGACGAAGGGTTATTTTTTCATCCAGTGCAAATACATTTTGTCGTCGTAGTTGATGACAATTAAATTATATTTGACCATAAGATAGTGTACTGGAGTATACCAATTGGCTTTGGATGTATCAAACCGTCTGAGATTCAACCTTTATAGAACATTAGTGAGCTTTCTATCTAATTTAATGGTAGATGCTTTGGGCTCTGCTAGGCCATCAAAGCTTTTAGGAGTTTAAATTGATGAATTCGGTTATAAAGAAGCATCAGGACAGATGATATATCAAACAAGAAGTTAAAAGAAATTATATTTTTAATGAGAAATAGTTTTTACAATTTCTCATTGGTGACTGGCCAACTTGGGTTAGAATAAACATTAACAGCCGGGTAGATTAGATAGATTCCCTTTCAAGAAAGGGACAATATTACATTTAAAATTAATACCGCCTCGAACAACCTCAAAACTCCTGTAGACTTGTTATATATATATATATATATGTTTATCTTATTCCTAATAACGGTCGTTTCTACTCAGCATAGATCATTCAAGCTTATTTATCTTGTGTAATATGAAAGAGTATATTTTACTTATTATCTGGCATAACCTCAACTAAGTCTCGAGTAACCCTCGAATCGTTCACTATAAGTCTTATATCTACTACTATTGCAATCATATTTGCACGCCCCCGTTTTACTCTACATTTTCTCTATGTTTTTTTTTTCTTGAAAGAATGATCCACTTTTATTCTTAATACTTTATTTCAAATTAATCTGGATATTTAGCATAAACTGTGCAAATAGCTCAACACTTCGATCATTTCTTGACAGGTTTTGCTGTCGTCTCATTAGAACTTCGTAATACACGATCAAACCATCAATATCGAACCTGATCCTGTCTACTGTAATTAATTGGACGGCTTACACGCACACACAATATTCTAACAGCTATTGGTCTGACCGGGTTGTCTAGATTTGGATTTTAATTGAATCTTTTGAATTTGATAGATTGGTTAAATCATTAACCAGTCCCATAATTATAAACTCAACGTAGTTAGGCGGGTCATTATGTCATCCAACATTAGTCTAATTTGACAAGTACGATTGCAACTAATATTTTTTCCGAATACGTGCACTCATAGAAAAAGTCCAAAATGACTATTTAAGGATGAAGAAGCTCCATAGTCACTTCATAGCCATGGCTTCAACATTGAAAGTGGTGCTCTTGTTACTCTTCTCTAGCTTTACTATCTCGCCTATCTCTTGCTACAAGGGTGCGCAGCACCCACTAGACCCTCTATCCCCAAAAGAATTGACCCTTGTCCAAACCATTGTCAAGAAATCATACAACCCTAGCTCAAACAACAGCATATCATTCCATTATGTAGGGTTAGATGAGCCAGAAAAACCAACTGTTCTGTCATGGCTATCGAAACCCAGCACCAAAACCCTTCCTCGCCGGGCACTAGTCTTTACTCGAGTAAATGAGCAAACCCATGAAATTATTGTAGACTTATCCAAACGCATCATTGTATATGATGAAGTTTACAAGGGACTTGGCTATCCTTTACTTACAGCTGACGAGCAAATAGCTGCAATTCAGTTGCCATTAAAATACGGCCCCTTTATCGAATCAACTAAAAGGAGAGACCTTAACGTTTCATATGTTGTTTGTTCTACTTTTACAGTGGGGTGGTTTGGAGGAGTTGAGAGAACTAAAAGGGTGGTAAAGGTTCAATGTTTTTATAACAAGGGCACCGTTAATTTGTACCTCAGACCAATAGAGGGAATACGAATAGTTGTCGATCTTGATAAAATGAAGATTGTTGAATACAGTGACGCGTTCAAGATTCCGGTACCAAAAGCAGAGGGAACTGACTACAGATTTTCCAAGCAGCATCCGCCTTTTGGTCCCCGTATCAACGGTGCAGCCATCATGCAAACGAATGGACCTGGCTTCGAGATTGATGGCCATACTATCAGGTTTTTCTCCTCTCTTCTTTTTGTGCTTATTTTGTTTCTCTTCTTCTTCTCATCATTATTTCACTCATCTTGATACCTTTGTTCTAATTATTTGTCCATATTAAAAAAATAAAGGAGAAAGAATTTGTCATTTTTTGTTGTATAATGAACATTCGAATGTAAAAGCAAGTTAAGTTAATCAGGCCATGGCGTGTCTCTATATATACTCAGATTAATGAAATCTAATCTGACTATTATTTTAAAAGTCCACACTAGATTTAAGGAATAGCGTAGGTCAAGTTGCAAGGTACGAGACAGGAGCCTAGTCCAAATAAGCTAAATTGCCCAAGGCCCATCTTCGGACTTACAAGCCGTGATTAGTGTGCATTTTTATTTCAGTTATTTTTAGATTAATGGAAAAACCTCTAGAAAACAATATAAGCTGTTCAAACGTGTGAAAAAATATACTAGCAATAATTAAGAACGTTAAAGCAATATTTTCTCTATTCTTTATAGTACGTATTCATCAATTATTATCGAAGTAGATTATATTTTTTGGTGATATTATAATGTAGAAACTATTGAAACTATTAAACATCTTCAATAGTAACAGTAAATGAAATTATATTAATGAGGTGAGTTAGGTATCAAATATGTCTACAGAAGAATTTTAGGAGCATACCCAAGTATCCGAAATAATGTTTTATTTTTTATTAATTTTGGATATATTCGAAAAGCAATCGAATCAAACATGCATACACGAACACGCTAGGAGTTCGAACTATGCTGACTACATATATCGTTGTGTCCCTAATAATTATCAATGTAAGTAAAACATTTATTGACTGCTTGTGTCAAGACACTCACCCACACCAGAAGCACCTGTTTTTTATTTTCTTTCCTTTATGGGTTACAATTTAAGCTTGATGTTTAGTTGGTTCAGTAATACGCAAATCTTTAAAACTACTTTATATTCGTGGTATTGTAAATACTAAAAGGCATTCCACTTTAATTTTAATCTTACTGAAATAGTTGTATTTATGAATTTATTATTATTATTATTATTATTTGATCAATCTCTTGTGCTTAAAATTAAACAACTTCTGCCTAACGTTTAAAAATAAAATAAAATATTTGGTAAATGGATTCTATAAGAAAAGGAATTGATATTAATTTCATC